TTACCCCGCCCCGAGGAATATCGAGTACTCTGGGGGAGTGAATGTGACCAGACTTTTATGTTAGTATTGTATGTTGTTTATATTTTACTCTGTTGGAATGAATGTAATTTAAGCATGAAAGGAAGGGGTTATCTACCCCGCCCCGAGGAATATCGAGTACTCTGGGGTGAGTGTGTGACGTCTGGATAGTAAAAGAAAGTTATTAGCGCGAATGGAGTGGGTTTAACCCCACCCCGAGGAATATCGAGTACTCTGGGGGAGTGATGTGACCAGTCTTTTATGTTTGTAGCGATATATATGTTATGTATTGTATGTTGTGCATCTATTTTTAAATTGACAACCTGAGGTACTAACAAGAGGCTATCTATATATATATATATATATAGATAGATAGATAGATAGATAGATTTTAAGTCGAATTCGTATTTTATTTTAGTGTTTAAGAGTAGAGCTTGTGTTAAAAAATAGATTTTTAAATAATTTTTTGGTTGAGTAGTTTTTGGGAAAACCATGCGTCACATCTGTAAGATTGAGTAGTGGATATGTATATAAATTAATTAAAAATTATAAATTATATAAAATTAATAACAATGTTGGAATAGCATAAGGGAGTGATATTACAGTCGTCTTCCAACGTCATGCAATGAGGCGACTTTTGACCTTTTCCTCCATTTCCCACGTAAGGTTCGGTGGTAATCCAAAACCCCGGGGAAATCGTGTAATATTTTTCTTCTTCTCCTTTTTTAATAAATGAGAGCTCACATTTGCGAGGAAAACTGGCAGACAGGGGGATTTCAAATATTAACGAAAAACGAGACGAAAAAAGTAAATAACATGATGAACGTAGAAAAATAGGCCAATTCGAAGCAATGTTGTAAATGTGAGCAAGTTCATTTCATACTGCCGCTACGTTTTTTTTTTTTTTTTTTTTTTTTGCGGAAAGAATGTAAAATGTTAATTAATTGAAAGCACTGCCAAGAAAGTAATTAATCATAAATTAATACACCCTCGGAATGAAAATCATTGATTTGAAACAGCTTTGCAAATTTTTTAAAATATCAAATTTGGTTTATAAAGAACATTTTTTGGAAACTGTGGTAGTGGGGTGTTATAACGGATATGGCGGCTGTACTTTTTGTTTTTGTTTTTGCTGCTTGTCAATGGGCCCTAGGGGCAAAGAAAATATATTTTAAGAAATTTAATTTTTAAATTATTGTTTCTGTCTTTGTTGTGCATCTATTTCAAAGTTATCATACAAATTATTTAGATTTTTTTTTTTTTTAGGGACTTGGGCGGTGAACCGCGTGGAGGTAACACGTTCAATTTAGCCACGTGCTAACCGGCGTTTAAAAAATCACGTCTTACTCGATTCAACCGACGTTTTCCACTCAGATGAGTGGAAAACAAGAGTCAAACCCTGAGAAGGAGTTGGAGAGGGAGAGGAGGCGGAATAAGGACGAGATGGAGCAGACNCACCTTAGGATGCTTCTTTGATATCCAAGGAGCGTTTGATAATGCAGATACCTCATGCATTATAGCAGCACTAAATAAATATAACATTCACCAACACCTCATAGGATGGGTGAAAACATACCTAGAGGGTCGGATGGTAAATGTGCTTAGGTAACAGCACTCTGAGAATCAGGGTCACTGGATTATCTCCTCTATTGTGGTTAATCACAGTAAACAGCTTATTAGAGCTTCTGAATAACTCAGGCTTCTATAGCCCTATAGTTTAATTCGACATAATATACAATGTGTGGTGTTTAGTGACCGTTGGCCAATGATTATGTGGAGATCGTGAGTTGCGGTCTGGTGATTTTACTACGTAGATTTTAGAAATGCCAACGTTTCGATCTTTATTGAGATCATCTTCAGGGCCCGGGATTTATAAACATTGTTTGAATTTTACAAATACATGTAGGATGTGGAAAAAAAATTAATTTATACAATGCTAGAAAATTTTAGATTTAAAAAAATGAATTTATACAATGCTAGAAAATGTTAGATAAAAAAATGAATTTATACAATGCTAGAAAATTTTTCATAAAAAAATGAATTTATACAATGCTAGAAAATTTTAGATTAAACAAATGAATTTATACAATGCTAGAAAATTTTAGATAAAAAATGAATTTATACAATGCTAGAAAATTTTAGATTAAA